AGACTAAGAATTTGGCGGAAGAGGTGAGGGGAGACGAGACAGCGAAGATTGACTTCCTTCATGTGAACGCGTAGAAGATCGGTAATGAAAATACTCAAGCAACAACATCAACAAGAAGCACGAATCACCATGAAGGGGAGAAATCTATGGGAAGTTGTCTATTTCACCTACCTACCTACCTACCTACCTACCTACCTACCTACCTACCTACCTACCTACCTACCTACCTACCTACCTACCTACCTACCTACCTACCTACCTACCTACCTACCTACCTACCTACCTACCTACCTACCTACCTACCTACCTACCTACCTACCTACCTACCTACCTACCTACCTACCTACCTACCTACCTACCTACCTACCTACCTACCTACCTACCTACCTACCTACCTACCTACCTACCTACCTACCTACCTACCTACCTACCTACCTACCTACCTACCTACCTACCTACCTACCTACCTACCTACCTACCTACCTACCTACCTACCTACCTACCTACCTACCTACCTACCTACCTACCTACCTACCTACCTACCTGTCTACCTACCTACCTACCTACCTACCTACCTACGTACCTACCTACCTACCTACCTACCTACCTACCTACCTACCTACCTACCTACCTACCTGCCTACCTACCTACCTACCTACCTACCTACCTACCTAGACAGTATCACTTCAACTACAGACGGCGTCGTTGGCACAGATGAGGACGTCGAATCCAGAATCAGAATGATAGCAAGACAGGCCTTTTTTTCATTAATTTGATATAATCAGTGTGGAGATCTACTGCATCGCACTGCACTCCACTGCACTCAACATAGAGTGAACAAGATTGGTATTTTCAACAGTAATTCACTCAGTCAAGTCAGTGCTTCTAAGTGATAATTGAGAGACCTGACGTGCTATGAAAATCATTTCCAACAAAGTACAGACATGTATGAACAGCTGCCGCCTACGGTCAGTAGATAGTGAAGATGAAGATGAGTTGAGGAGAAGGAATAAGCATGGAGGAACTTTGAGCTGGTCACAAACCATCCAAGCAAGAAGGTATCGGCGAACACATATGCATAAGAAGAAAGTGGAGATGGATGTGGATGTGGATTGGATTTGATATAGACTGAGAAGACCATTTGAGGATATGATGTGTCAGAGCAGGCCATTCCGGGACGTCAAAAGGTAGCGAAATGGGAAACGACAATTTTGGTGTGCCTGCTGAGGGTGATACGGATGAGATAGTGTGAGAAAGAAATGAAAGCTTGTGTGTAGTTGTGTAGGCAGGTTGAAAAGATTGGAGAGAATAGAGTGAAATGGCGCCCAAAAAACAAATAATAATAATAATAATAATAATAATAATAATAATAATGAGGTAGAATGTACCTGAACTCCAGTGCTTAGTGATATTGTCCCTAACGAGACTCGAAACTCGTACCCATCACTTCAAGCATCAGTGTTATCCATTAGAACATGAGAGCGTGAGAGTAACTTTGACAAATAGGTTTTACTTAAAGGCAATTCACGTTTGAATTACTTTTATCATTACTACAACTTGACTCATAATGATATTATTTATTAGTCTGTCAGTAATGTTTATTTAATCTTTTACGTTAGGGTAAATAAGGCGCCATACAGTTTTATTACAGGTATAAAGTTGTCAATATACGTTAAAAAAAAGAGAAAAAAAGATGGTGAAGATGGTATCCTTCTTATTGTAAATTTAACATTTATGCGTAATTACAGTCTTACACATAAGGTTGAGAACATTCCTCTTGTTTTTTTTTTTGGCTTTTTCGTTTGTTTTGCGTAGTCAAACGATTGATCCATTGTACAGGATGTTTGCATATATACCCAGTTTTTCGTAGAATTTATAGTTAAAGTTATAAACTTTTTCGCATCTTACTCTTAATTGATTTTCATCTGAAATGTCTAGTTAACTGGTTGACTGGATCTTAACATTTCTGTGTATTAATGTGTGGTATCGTTAATCATTCGAATGTGGTTAATTGTAATGTGTGTGTGTGTGTGTATGTTGGTGTGCTGAGAGTTAAAGTTAGATTAGCAATCAACTCAACTGCTTCCAAGCATAACTCTCTTCATCACCAAGAAATTATAGTCACAGTGTTATATGTCATGGTGTCATCATATCAGTTATGTGGAAGTTAGATATAAAGTTTTAAGAATGAGAGGAAAGTTAGTTGAGTAAGTTGTTAACCCTTCACCTAGTCACCGTTTACCTCATCATACAGTGTTAGCTGAAGCATGTTTATGCTAGAAAAGGGTTAGCGGTGATCAGAATAATAGATGACATCAGTCCATGAAGGTTTTAACTGTTGATCAGATTCGTTTAGTGGGATGTAGACTTCTTGATTTGTTTCCCTGTGACATCAGAGGCCACTGGTCAGAAACTGTAGATGATATGGCTCAGAGTTGGTTTCAGTGATCCAGATGCATCTACACATTATCCTCATACTAAACTTTATACTGTATTTAGTATTTTCTTACTCTTCCTTGTTATCTTAGCATGAATTTCTGCTACTTATACTACTTCGATGTCTCTTTAACTTTCTTGCTTGATGTACTTATATAAGGGCTGGCAACCTGGACTGTTACGCAGTAATATCTGATCTTATGTTGATCTTGTATGTGTTTGTATATTAACCTGTCTCTATCTCTAGGTTTGTGGTGGTTTATCAATTGATTTTAGGTTGAGATTCACCATGGACTGCAATCAATTGGAGAAACATTGTAAACCTGATAGCACTGGGTGACTATTTCGTCTTGATATGTGACTTCTCAGCAGTGCACACCCATAACTCCACCGCGCCCAGGGATCCAACCCACGACCTTTAGGGTCCTTGTTATGAAAGTTATATATTTATGCCTTTGACGTGAGTAAAAATAACTGTAGTGACAGAATAAAGGATAATAAATAGTGCGTTCCACAGCATGCTTATAGCTTATTGCCTACTGCACGAATATGTGCATGTATTGACTGAGTGCACTTCAAATTTCGATATGTTTGACTTATATTCTAATCCTTATTAAGTGGTAAGTATAAAGCACGGTTGGTTGATTTGGTCTTCTACTATTGCTCTGTAAAGCAGAGTATTTACAAAGACTTCACATTTGTTATGATGGTTGCGTTAGTCGCATCCTTGGTAGAACTGTCATGTGAACAGTGCTGAGGTTATGTGTAGACTGTTATGTGATTCATTAACGTAAGTGCTTGACTTTCATGGATTCGAACCTCGCTCTACCTGTCGAAGTCTCTACATCTGGATGGTATCATTAGACATCACATTATAAGTGTAACTCATTACTTACTTCATGAATGAGCACATGAGGTATACATTGCTGATGCCAATCTACATTGTAACTCAATACATAACGGCGGTGGCTTTCTTCATCTTGACGTTTATATCGACTGTTGTTATTGTTATTTCCATTTGTTTATATTCCTCCTATATATGCTGATATTACGTGTAGCAAGTTGCACCGGAACGCAGTTATGGCACGTCCTAAAGTGTTAACATAAAGCAGACACCAAATGAAGATCTTGGTGGATAGTCACGCTACATCATGAATTGACATGGGTCAGTACGAAACTTTAGACTGTTGGACTCCAAACAAGCCCCTGGGTCCGATCCCTGGTGGTATTATGGGTGTGTGTTGCTGAGGATTCTCATACTAGGACGAAACAGTTAGACAGTGCTTCCAGGTTTTTAATGGTCCTCCAACTGATATCAGTCCATGATGATTTCCAACGTAAAATCAATTGATCAACCTCCAAAAACTTCCAAATAGAATTAATCTAGGGCTTATTGATGACTGGCTTTGAGAGGTGATTCCCGAAGTTCCAATGAGAAGTCGTGATCAATGGAGTCAACCAAGCGGAACATAAGGACAGTTACTCAACGACGACATTGGATGTAGGTCGCGCTATATCATGAACTGATAGAATTAGGAGATGCGGACGATTAGATTTCGACCTCGTCACACAATGTTGGCTGAAGTAGGCCCAGGCTAGAAAAAGGCCCGAGATGGCCAGACTAAAACATGGCACCAGTGTATCAGGTGTTTGACTGTTGGTTTGAGCCATGTGGGGCTATACAGAATAGGTGATTGGGGTCGGCGGGACTAGAGAAACCAGAGATTGGAGACTGACTGTAGGTGATATGGTTGAGAACCGATGTCAGTGGCGCCTATGTATCCCCACACACACATTATTCTCATCTTAACGACGCTATACCGAATCTCATCATTTTATCATTCCTCTTTTCTTTCTTCTTGTACTTAATATTTCTTTTGACTGCATTCTCTTATCTTAATCATTCATCTCACCACTTTTCTACTTGATGTACTGATATGAGGTTTGGCAACTCGGAGGGTTACGCAGTAATGCCTGGTCCTAGGTTGATATTGATTGATTGGATTCTGAGCCAGTGAATAGCTTAATGATCACATGCTGGTCACGGAACCTGAAGGTTATGGGTTCGATCCCTAGTGGGGTAGGGTCGTGAGTGCGCACTGCTGGCTGTCTAGTGCTCGCAGGTTCTTAATGTTTCTCCAAACGATATCAGTCCATGATGAATACTACCTCTAAATTTAATTAACAAACCTGAAAATAAATAAGTTTAATGATAAATAAATACAATCCACGGAAGTTGTTCAACATTTGTTGTGTTCCGATATGTTTCATATGACTTTTTGTAAACCAAAACGATTTCTTTTCGATCAGTTATCTAATTTCATATATATTCCATTTAGTAGTATATTTATAAACGGTATTTATGAAATACAATACTCTATTTACCTTCTGTACTTATTCATGCTGACTGTATCTATCGGCATTCAATGTATCTATTATGGTAATTATTTGATACAAAGCTGAATGTAATGGACATTTTATCCATTGAACATTGTACTATACATTTGTACTATTGAGTTTTATTCCTGTTTATTATTACTATTATTATTATTATTCCTTTGTAGGTCTCCATTATTCCATTCATTTGTCAAATGTTGTTTAATTAAAAGTGAACGAAGGAGACCTGATGCAGCTACAATGTTAACTGTAGGTTCTGTGAAATTTAGGCATGATTTAATTATTGATTTTCTGATAAATATAAATATAACTGACTTGATTGTGACGCTACGTGTTTCGTTCAACTTAAAATTCATCAGTTGGCTCTATCTGGATCTTCACTGCTAACCCGAACTAAGTAAATTAAAACAATAAATATTGAGGCAATATCTAGCTATCTGGGTTAAGAGCCCATCTGCTAACAGAGGTTAGTCAGTTCAACCCGGTATAACAACGGGGAATTACAAGTGTTATCAAATAATAATAATAACTTATATCCGCTGTACAAGGAGTAGCTATCGTTTCTAGGTGGTCTGGTGAATAACGCTTTGGCATTGGAGCGATGGGTGCAGGGTTCGATTCTCAGCGGAAACAGCATCACTCACTGGGATGCAGTTATATCTATCTGACGAGTCCCGAATAGGACGAAACGCGCGTCTTTAATTCCACTGCCAGCCACAACTTAGTCATATATATATATATATATATATATATATATATATATATATATATATATATATATATATATATATATATATATATATATATATATGAAGACTGACTGTAGGTAACATGACTATGAATTGACTTCGGTAGCGCAGATGCATCTGCATATTTTAGAACGGTCTTACCAGTTTTTCATATTAGATCTTTGAACATCCGAGCTGTATGCCAGATCGGATGACAGACAGCTATTTCCAGAACTCTGGAATCTCAAGCTATGCATATATCTTGTGTTTCTGAGATACGTATACAGGACCCGAGTGTGGTTACTCACTCGACCTCACCTGGTCTCTGCAGCGAATCTTCAAATTCTCTTAATGAGTATCCGGGGATTCAATGACTAGCTTTTGTGGACTTGGTGTTGTAGGGATAGAATTAAGTCGTCGAACAGAAGATCAACTTTTCGACTGGATACCACTCAGAAGCTGTCTATCTGCTGTCCGATTAAATAGTGCTGTAACAACTAGGAAAGATAGAAACTTATTGATATAAGGATTTTACCAGCATGTTTTAGTACACCATGTTTATATACATATAGGGAAATCTGGTAGCGATCCTTCCGCAGGTTCACCTACGACTTTTACTTCCTCTAAGTGGTCAAATTAGGTCGTCTTCTCAACATCAGTCGAGCTGCAAGCCACTTCAACAACACCAAGCTTACGACCTCACTAAATCATTCAATCGGTAGTAGTGACGGGCAGTTTGTACAAAGGGTGGGACATAATCAGCGCAAGCTTATGATTCGCGCTTACCAGGAATTCTTCGTTTACGGGGAGTAATTGAAAGCCCGGATCCCAGTCACGACGGTGATGAAACAGTTTGCGCAACCCTTTCGAGCCAGGTTTCCAGACTCTTTGGCACCGTTTATGTAGCGCATGTGTCACCGCGGACATGTAAGAGCAACACAGATCTGCTATTACTCATTTTCCTGATACTTTAACCTGCCGCTTATCCCTCTAAGAAGTAAAAACTGGCACGGTACCTGCCGCAAAACAACCACACCACTCCATAATAAAGAAGCAGTGAAAGCCGCACCCTGAACGAGCACAGACGACCAGTTTACTATTCAATAGGTTTCAAGTCTCCTCTGTTATCAGAATTAACCAGACAAATTGGTTCATCAACTAATAATGACCAGCCTGTTCAACTGTATGGTGCTGTAACAACTAGGATGGATAGAGACTAGTCGATGTCTATTCTACATTTCCACATACACACCCGCTAATTTCCATGTTCATTTGAATGTTAAACCTCCCAGCACTTTATTTATTGGTGTGACGTCCACTGTCAACACTTACTTCACTTTACACTTTATCTACTTTGTTAGTATTCCCTTTTTCTGAGTTATTGCAGAGAGTAATTTTCAGAATCGATACATTTTTGTTAGATGTCATAAATTGTTTCACACTTTCCAGGATAGGGTGAAGTTAGAGAAAAAACTGTGTAGTGGATGTTTATGCCAAACAACGATAATCGTTGGTCTAAAATTCTATGGTATAATGGCAAAAAATCTTTATGGTATAAGTGTAGCCACATCCTAACCCTTACATAACTTATGAATTTTTTTCATATTAACCAGAAAAATCTCAAGTTCTGTCAGTTGAAAGTTAACATTCAGACCATTGGACTCATTTCATATCGATGTATATTGAGCTGTAACTCATTAGTTTCGGAAGTTGTCTTTCAACCAATCGGTCACGAGTTCGAACCCCCTCTCCATCTAGTATTATTGACTGTCATGCAATAGATATCAATCATTGCTTATTATAAGAATATGCACATAGTTTTTGAGTGTACTTCAATTTCTTCTATGTATTATAAGTTTTCTTTTTACCTTTTTAAGTATTCTGTCTGTTAAATTGTTGCCATGTTTGATTTAAAACACAAGTTCATCAGTACAAGTTGCTAAATCTTACGTGAAAACTAAGGAGATAGGACAAAGATGATATGAGGGTAGACTGTAGCTGTCCAGATTTCATTAAATATATTAATACTTAAGTGCTAATATATTTACTATATATATATATATATATGTATATATATATATATATATATATATATATATATATATATATATATATACATCACTTTACCTCAAAACTTGATCCAGAATCAGGATTTCCATTGTGATGTATCCTGTTTAATTCACAGATTGTTTTGCTTTCCCTAAAATGTCATGGGAAAAGTTTAGAATAGTTACTTTTAGGATATTTGGTATTTGGATGGAACTATTAATCAGTAAGCACCGCAATTCACTCCGTTCTGTCTGTTAAATTGTTGCCATGTTTGATTTAAAACACAAGTTCATCAGTACAAGTTGCTAAATCTTACGTGAAAACTAAGGAGATAGGACAAAGATGATATGAGGGTAGACTGTAGCTGTCCAGATTTCATTAAATATATTAATACTTAAGTGCTAATATATTTACTATATATATATATATATATGTATGTATATATATATATATATATATATATATATATATATATATATATATATATACATCACTTTACCTCAAAACTTGATCCAGAATCAGGATTTCCATTGTGATGTATCCTGTTTAATTCACAGATTGTTTTGCTTTCCCTAAAATGTCATGGGAAAAGTTTAGAATAGTTACTTTTAGGATATTTGGTATTTGGATGGAACTATTAATCAGTAAGCACCGCAATTCACTCCGTTCTGTCTGTTAAATTGTTGCCATGTTTGATTTAAAACACAAGTTCATCAGTACAAGTTGCTAAATCTTACGTGAAAACTAAGGAGATAGGACAAAGATGATATGAGGGTAGACTGTAGCTGTCCAGATTTCATTAAATATATTAATACTTAAGTGCTAATATATTTACTATATATATATATATATGTATGTATATATATATATATATATATATATATATATATATACATCACTTTACCTCAAAACTTGATCCAGAATCAGGATTTCCATTGTGATGTATCCTGTTTAATTCACAGATTGTTTTGCTTTCCCTAAAATGTCATGGGAAAAGTTTAGAATAGTTACTTTTAGGATATTTGGTATTTGGATGGAACTATTAATCAGTAAGCACCGCAATTCACTCCGTTCTACTCTATCAGTTTGAAACATGGTCTTTAAGCGTAGATGAGATGAAACCACCATTGTCTTTGTTGTGTAGGTCATGTGTCGTGATGTCACAACGTGAGTAACTCCGAAGTCATCAGGTTTAGGTGTAGAGTTTTTGAGAGAGGAGGTCAGTTGACACGGTTGTGAACCTTCATCGACTGAGATGGTCCGGCTGGGATATGTGTTACGTATGCCTTGTCACCGTCTACCTCGTTACATAATGTTCGCAGATGTAGGTTCAGGCTAAAAAAGACACGAGGTGGGGAATATTTGTAGCTCAGGTAGATGGTCTTGGTTGTATTGTTCTCTCAGCTGGGTTGTTTAATCGTGAAGCTTTCATCCTCTTGTTAGACGGCAACATCAACACTAACTTCTGTATGAAGTGAGCTGTTAATATCTTTTCGTGAGTGATTTAGTGGCTTGTTCTGATGAAGTGGTCTGTGATTGGTTGTTTCCTTCGACTGTTGTGTCATTGACTGACTATATAGACTTTCCTGTTGGCTGTTCCTCTACTTGACCTCTGACCTTTCTGTCGTTTATCATTTTTCTTATCGGTTGACAGATCGGGTCTATGTCTATATATATATATTGATTGTTGACTGACTGATCTGAATGTCAAGCTTCTGTGAAATCTCTGATATTCTTTGTGTTCTCTCTCTCTGTCCAAAATTTCTACATTGTCGAAATTGATTTCATCTTCATAGTTGTTATCCACGGGCATAGAAATGAGTGACGAAATGTTTAGGCATTTAATAGCCAACACACACTGACCAAATCCTCAATTACAGTAGCAACAACCCACAAGATCAGTTGTGTGCAGACTCTATTCAGAAGAGCAAGAACACTCTGCAGTACAACAACTTCACGAAGAAACGAAGAAAATTACTTAATGTCCATCCTAAAGAAGAACGGCTATCCACGAAACTTTATCAGAAGATGCCTATCCCGTACATCATCAACTACAAAGTCATTGAAAGGAATCAATAAACTCATCATCCTACGATACATAAAGAATGTATCAGAAATCACAACAAGATTACTGAAACCACTCGTGGCTCATAAACCAACAAATTCCGTCAAAACACTATTATGGAGACCAAAGGATGCAACAACCGAAGAAGCCAAACCGAATATCATTTACAAAGTCAACTGCATTAATTATAGTCAACACTACATTGGCCAAAGTGGTCACCCTCTTCGCCTTCGTCTACATGAACACCAATTGACTATTGAACGTCACGACATCTCATCGCTTCTCATTTCAATATACGTGGATAACAACTATGGACGTGAATTGAATTTCGACAATGTAGAAATGTTGGAGGGAGAGAGGAAACACAAAGAATATCAGAGAATTCCTACATGGTTGGCATTCAGATCAGTCAGTCAGCAATCAATACATGTATAAACATAGACGCAATCTATCAACCAATAAGAAAGATGATAAATGACAGAAAGGTCAGAGGTTAAGTAGAGGAACAGTCAATGACACAACAGTCGAAGGAAACAACCAATCACAGACCACTTCGTCAAGGGAAGCTACTAAATCATTCACGGAGAGATATTAACAGCTCACTTCATACTGAAGTTAGTGTTGATGATGTCACTGTCTAACAAGATGATGACAACTTTACGATTAAACAACCCAGCTCAGAGAACACAATATACAACCAAGACATGGGACGACCAGACTAAAAGGATGGTATGGTACCAATAACTTTGTTCTACTCATGTAAATTATATTGATTCTTTGCCACAAAAATGTTTAATATATTCACTTAATTTTTTTTTCCCCATACTTTTATAGCATAATTTTGTCAGTAATCCACATTTATCTACACTGTTAACTCAACGTCTCCTATGTTATCGACGACAATTAGACTTATCATCTAAAAATGCTTATTCTCAAAATGATACAGGCATATCTATAACACCTTATAAAAAGATATCTTCACCAGTAGGGAATTTTATTCCAACTAATAATCATACACCTGGAAATATTGTACCTATTATATCAAATGCTCATATACCTACTATAGAAGAGAAAAATGATATTGATAAATCACCAATTATGAATAATCTTGGTGTTAGTTGTGAAATTGATGTTAATAGTCCTCCTATGCATTTTGTTACATCACAAAAACTTATCCTTGAAAGAAAACCTGATATATTTCCCAATATACAAATTCACAATAGTTTATCATGTTCTGAATTAACCAATGTAAGTTTAATTTATATATCATTAAATAATTATATTTTCTAGTTAAAACATTTTTGAGATGAATGAGGATTTTTAATTTAGAAGTAGTATTCATCATGGATTGACATCAGTTGGGGAACCATTGAAAATCTGGGAGCACTGGACAGCTATTTCATCCAACTAGTATGGGACTCCTCAGCAGTACGCACCCATAACCCGGCTAGAGGTCGAACTAACTGAAGACTTTGGGTGACAGTCGCGCTATGTCGTGAATTGACAGAAGTTGGAAATTGTGAACCACTGGAAACCGACCCAGTGGCTGAATGGTTAACGCGTTCGCCATGAAACCTGAAGGTCCTGAGTCCGACCCTTAGCCAGGTTGTGGGTGCGTACTGCTGAGGAGTCCCAACTGATGTCAGTCCATGATGAATACTACTTCTAAATATAAGATTTATTTATTTGATATAGTATTATGTAGAGAAACTAAAGGATATGATGGATTCAGGAAGTACAAATCATGTGTGGATCAAATCACAACGCTACATATCATCATAGAACGGAGCATAGAATGGCAGTCAACTCTCTACCTCAACTTCATCGACTTTGAAATGGCCTTCGACAGCGTTGACCGAGAAGTAATTTAGAAACTGCTCTAACACTATGGAGTGCCACAAATCATTATCAACCTCATTCAACAACTATATGAAGACACCACATGCCAAGTGATTCACAATGGGAAGCTTACATCTATCACGTAGACATTTGACAAAGCCTGCCTTAACTGACATTCGACGGGATGACTTGAAGTCTAGATACCTGTTGGAATGTATCGGTCTTTTTGTAGACGGTAGTATCCAAATCACTGTCTATCCTTCGTTTTATACTGCAATCCAACAAAGCTAGTTCTCTTTCCTCATTTTCTACCTCCTCACAAGTGAATTGAATTGCGCCTACTACTCAGTTTACATGTGTGAGGAAATTGTCGATATGTTCGGATTTCAACACAGTAAACAATGTGTTATCCACATATCGCCACCATATCTTGGGTGTAGAACTAAACCTTTGTTTGTAAAGCCATGTTTTACCAGCTATCCATAAATATATTTCCTACGATTAGGGATATTGACGATCCCATTGTTACTACTCTTTCAATTTGTCTGCATATTATATCCACAGTTTTCAAGTTTCAGGATTATGATTATGAACAATAAATAATTTATGCTCAAAACGTCATCATCAAGTAATTTATACAATATCACTGTGTTAATATCGCTGGACCGCGGAAAAGAACCTAGAAGACTTGGATTTCGTCGATGACTTGTGTCTGATGTTGCACAAACTTGAAGATCTACAGGCGAAAACTAACAATGTTGATAGAAAAGGCAGGGAAGATGGGACTTGAAGTGAATATAGAGAAGACAGAGGTGATGAAGATATCAAACCAACAAGAACAAGAACAGCAAGCTCTAATCACAATCAACGGGAGAAACTTAAAGGAAGTAGCCTCTTTCACCTCTCTAGGCAGGCAGCACTATTTCAACTACAAGTGGCACAGATGAGGACATCAAAACCAGGATCGGAAAAGTAAGACGGGAGTTCATTAGCCTGAAACCAGTGTGGAGATCCTCTGCACTCAGCATATGGAACTAGTTTCAGGGTTATGAGCAATAAATAATTTATGCTCGAAACGTCGTCATCAACTAATTAATACTATATCACTATATGTTATAAATCAAATAAAGAAATCTAATATGTAATTAAATTCTACTACAGTGCCCAAATTTTCCACCTGTATTAATGAAATATATGGTTCCACTAATGATCATGCCTTGTTGTTGTAAAAAATATAACCAGTGACATCTATATGAACAAAGATTAGTTGCAAAAGCGAAGTAATAAGGTGGAAAGTTGATGAATTCGAATTAAAAATAATTTAATAATTGTCTTTCAAACCATTTGTAGTATCTAGCTAGCTGGTTGCAGACAAAGTAGTTAGAATATCAACATGGTCGTTTATAAACACTGACCTTTCATTTTGTTCCTTCATCATTTGTACGTCTCAAGGATACTTCTAGCTGCATTTTATCAATGGAGTTAAGAGAATATACGAAAATTATTCTAGATTATAGGGATGAAAAGGTATTTACAGCATAAAATTAGATTACCTAACATTAAGATATGAATGAATCTTTGGGCCCGGAATCGGGCCATAGCAGTTTCAGCGGCGAAACTTGCTTTTTCTTTTTTTAAAACACATTACTCAGATTGTCGGATCCTGGTTTCTACTGCTACTGTAGTTTAAATGACTAGCAGCTACCTACCTTTAGAACAATTTGATAGAACAGAAAATGATGTATTTATGTATGTGAAGCTACGTGTAAAGCCAAAGATACATGCCGATTGATTGACGGTAGAAAGCTGAGTGATGTTTTTGACGTGAAGTGAAGACAGGAAGTAGTAAGATAAGGTTGTCGCCTACTATCACCAATGATCTTCCTGATTGTAGTCAACTGGACTGGACTGAAGTTGACTGGAAGATGCAAGAAACTGTGAGGAGTTGTGAGAAGATGGGGATAAGCTGGCTGGACCGATAGAAGGACCCCAGAAGAAGATTTGGATTTCGGCATCGATGATGATTTATGTCTAATGTCTTATATCGTAGAAACTCGATGTGGGGGCTGGAGACTAAGAATTTGGTGGAAGAGGTGAGGGGAGACGAGACAGCGAAGATGGACTTCCTTCATGTGAACGTATAGAAGATAGATGGTGAAAATACTCAGGCAACAACATCAACAAGAAGCACGAATCACCATGAAGGGGAGAAATCTAAAGGAAGTTGTCTATTTCACCAACCTAACTACCTACCTACCTACCTGGACAGTATCACTTTAACTACAGACGGCGTCGGTGGCACAGATGAGGATGTCAAATCCAGAATCAGAATGATAGCAAGAAAGGCCTTTTTTTCATTAATTTGGTATAATCAGTGTGGAGATCTACTGCACCGCACTGCACTCCACTGCACTGCACTGCATTCAACATAAAGAGTGAACAAGATTGGTATTTTCAACACTAATTCACTCAGTCAAGTCAGTGCTCCTCAGTGATAATTGAGAGACCTGACGTGTTATGAAAATCATTTCCAACAAAGTACAGACGTGTATGAACAGCTGCCGCCTACGGTCAGTAGATAGTGAAGATGAAGATGAGTTGAGGAGAAGGAATAAGCATGGAGGAACTTTGAGCTGGTCACAAACCATCCAAGCAAGAAGGTATCGGCGAACACATATGCATAAGAAGAAAGTGGAGATGGATGTGGATGTGGATTGGATTTGATATAGACTGAGAAGACCATTTGGGGATATGATGCGTGAGAGCAGGTCATTCCGGGACGTCAAAAGGTAGCGAAATGGGAAACGACAATTTTGGTGTGCGTGCTGAGGGTGATATGGATGAGATAGTGTGAGGAAGAAATGAAAGCTTGTGTGTAGTTGTGTAGGCTGGTTGAAAAGGTTGGAGAGAATAGAGTGAAATGGCGCCGTGCTACTGAAGCTTTGTGTTCCACTAGTTACCCAAGGGACAAATAATAAATATAATAATAGGCGAAGATATGCATAGATTTACCAATTAACCTTCAAAAGGTGATATTTCTCTAGGTATGGAGGTGGTTGTCGAGGATATGTGAATGCAAAGGTTTTATTCTTACCGTCGCACGCTATATATGGTTCGTATTCAAAATGGGCATCATCATCTTTAGATTACAGTTAAATGGAGAATTCTATTCAGATTTACTTATATGTCCCTATTGTAAATTTTCGTGCATTAGTTGACCGCCAACTTTTTACTATGCTGCTTTCGTCCAGATATGCATATCTACATGTACAAACAGACATAATCATCTAGCGCCACTGCACTGCTAAAATTCACTGCCAACTTGTGTCATCTCTAAAACTAACTGGCAGGATATCCAATTATCTATCAAAAGTCGAATATACTGCACTTTATTCCGCTCTCTCCTGTTATACAGCTGTGAAACGTGGCCATTGAAAGTAAAAGACAAGAAGCGGTTACGTGGTTTTCATCAGAGATATCTTCGTAGCAGTGTTTACGTTTGGTGGAATCACAGTATCAGCATTGTTGAGGTCAGGCAAAGGGTAGTAGGCAAGATAAGCAAGTTGATTGATAAGGTTGTGAACCTTCGTCGGTTGAGATGGTTTGGGCATATATTGTGCATGCCGAACTACTCCCAACATCGACGTACCATGCTAGGAGATGTTGAATCAGGTTGTAAAAGGGTTCACGGTGGCAAGACGAAGATGTTGCACCAGTCTATCAAGTCTTTTACTGTTGGCCTGAGTCATGTGGGGAGATGTAGATTGTCTGGCTGGGGTCTCCGGGACGATAGGAATCAGTGGTTAGGGACTAACTCTTCGTGACATGGCTGAAAATCGGTCGCAGTGGCGCAGATGTATTCACCCCTTGAAATCTGAAGTTTAAATATTCTCACTAACCGTTATCTACAGATTGTTTATTCTCTCACGCTGCTTTTTCCACTCGGATATCACTCCTTTTCTGTCTACCTGTTATTTCTAAACGACTGTGAAGTGTAGGAACTTGATCCGATGCACTTGTGTATGGGGGGGAGGGGGTTGATTTGTACGTTAATCTGGGCTATCAAATAGTACTACTACTTATGTTCTGGGGTTAATTTATTGTTAACTACCTATACTTTTATCGGACCGTAATTGACTTTCAGCACATGATTCGCCATATTCAACGTTAACGCTGACTTTTTAACCTGACTCGTTTCAAATATACGTGCGCAGTCTCCTATACTCAAATCATCTAAACGATGAGTCATAAAACTCCACTCTTCCGACGGTGTACAACAGAACACGCAATTTCATGTTTATTGTTTGTACATATTATTTGGCGATCTCATTCGTCTGTATATATATCTGTAAAGTGGGATCAATCCTGGAGCCTCTGTGGCTGATGAAACCTCTACACGAATACAAAAGGCTCGGCTGGTTTTTGCCAACTCACTTCACCTGTGGCGCCACCGTGATATCCGATTATCTATCCAAGGCTCGCGTGTACTGCACAGCAGTCCTCTCTGTTCTATTCTTTAGTCATGGAACATGGCGATTGAAGGATGAAAACATGAGAAGGCTTCAAGTGTTTGACCACCGTTGCCTTCGTAGTATGGGACGTATTTCGTGGTGTCAGCATTTGAGTAACTCAGAAGTCGTCAGGTGTAGGTGTAAAGTTTAGGGGAGAAGAGCTAAGTCAGTCTATGTAGTTGTGAACCTTCATCGACTGAGATGGCTGTCTGGGACATGTGTTACATATGCCTAGTCGCCGTCTACCTTGTCACACACTGTTGGCTGTTGGATGTAGGTTGAGATTGGAAAAAGAGACGAGGCGGCCAGACTAAAAGATGGGATGAATGTATGAAGTGTTTGACTGTTGGTTTGAGCCGTGCAGGGGTGGGGATGATGCAGACTGTGTGGTTGGGGTCGGTGGGACAAGAGGAACGAGTGGTTTGAGACTGTAGGTGATGTGGCTCAGAATCGAAGTCAATGGCACAGAGATGTATACACACATGATTCTCATCTAAACGACTCTATACCTAAGGTTGATTTCATTATATCTCTTGCACTCTATTATCTTTTTTTAGATGACTGATAATGTAAGTTAAATGATTCATTTTTGTTTTAACAATTTTTCTTCAATATTTTACTGAATTATACATGATTGTTCTAATTTTGATCACCTCAGTTTAGTTTAACATTATTTTTAGTTGTATAACCTTTTTATTGTTGTCAAGATGTGTTGTTACTTTTACTGGTTGTTTTGTTTTCTCTCTGCTATTCAGAGGTGTTATTTAGCCATCGTAGACTGATATCAGTTGACGGAACAAAGGAAACCTGGGAGCACTGGACAACTGTTTCATCCTAGTATGGGACTCCTCAGCAGTGCTCACCCACGACTCCACCAGCCAGGGATCGAACCCAGGTTTCCTTTGTCCTTCCAACTGATGTCAGTCTACGATGAATAACAGCTTATATGATTGTCAGTTGTTAAATTTTTTGTGTTTTTACGATTAGTTTATACTATCTTCACTGATTTGGTATTTGCCAACTCACATCATCTGCTGTGCCTTCTGATGAAATAGCTGACTACCTATTAAACAACGAGTATACTATGCTACAGTCCATTCCGTTTTGTTATATTGGCTATGAAATATGACCGTTGAAAGTAGAAGACATGAAGCGGTTAGTTGGGTCTGTGAAAGAGTACTTGGTAAGATAGACAAGTTGACTGAGAGATGACTTGTTGAGTCATGGTCAAGCTAGGAGATGTAGGTTGTAAGAAAGTCCAATGTAGCTTGACTGTTGATCATAATGGTATGCTAGGATGTTTCCGAGACGAATGAGATGAATGCTTTAGAAGTGACTCTTGCTGAAAATGATAATATTATTTACTCTTTGAGATCTCCTTAAGTGATTTATTAAGCAATGAATGGCTTCATTGGTACATTTAATTTATTAACTTTTAATAGCACTATTAAAGGCTTTTTATTGGTTACTTTTTTTTCTGGCTAAATTTTGCTGAAATCCTAATTATCTAGGCTTATACAACACTGATTTTTGCTTGATTTCTGTTCGATTCCTTATACACTGGTGAAAAATCCCGATTATATAATTTCATAGAGTTTATAGTATATATATATGTCTCACACTCACTTACTATTATCTAACTTTGAGCTCTATTCCATTTATGGATGTTTGAAAAGCTCAGATATTATCATTATAGCCCTCATACAATATATACGGCACATTACCTATCGTATAGATGTACCTAACCAAACTTTTTCTTAATTGTTATGTCTTCATATCGGTGTTTATTATTATTACTATTATTATTATTACTACTACCACTATTATTATTATTATGGTATTGGTATTGCGATTTATCTTTTTATTTCATACACGCAGGATAATTATACAAAGAATGCTAATGAGATTGCACAATCTACAGATGTAGACTATATTTCACAAGGAAAAGAAAATATAATTAATCATGAATATGATAGAAAAGATGATTATTATTTACAAAATATACCAACATCAACAACTTTTACTACAACTGCTACTACTATTAAATATAGTGGATTAATGAAGTATTCATTATCTGAATCAGATAAAAAAATAAAGATGATAACTCCACCTATATTACCCATAAAAAGTACTAGACATCGTTCATCATTGATGAATAATGATAGTAAGCATTGTATCGATTCAACAAATTCATTGAATCAAGACAATACAAGTACATTGACTAATACACCATCATGTGTGACTCCTGGCTCAAAACCTCCTTCTCCTCCTTCTTCTTCTTCTTCTTCTTCTCCTCCTCCTCCACTTTCTACTGCTAATAATAATGATAAACAAAAACCTAATCGTCCTTGTAATTCGCCTATAATTCGAATTAATACCTCACATATATCTAATATAAGCAGTGTTGATGAATTATCTGATGGAACAAGTTGTTTAACAGAAAATCATATATTTGCAAATCGTTTACTTCATGTCAGTTCAGAGGCAAGTGCCTATATCTATCTATATATATATTTTTTTACACTCTGCTAATTTTCTTTTTTTCTCTAAAACTTTTATGGCTGATAGAGAGAGATTTATCGTCTTAAGGCACTATTATTATTATTATTATTATTATTTCTTTGGGTTCCTAGTAGCACGCCTCCATTGCACTCTCTTCTCTACAGTCTTTTGAACCTGACTCGACGACTGCCTAGAAGCTTCCATTTCTTCCTCATATGATCTCCTCCATATCACCCTCGACTTGGACGCCCAACTCGTTGTTCCCCCTTTGGATTCCACTCGAGCAACTGGCCTAGCGCATAATGTCCCCAGTCGGCCTTCTCAGTGTATGTCCAGTCCAATCGATTTCCATTTTCTTCTTCTGCATATTTGTTGGCTGATAGCTTCTTGGTTGGATCGTTGGTAGAGCTTCTTGTTGTTTATTCTTTCTGGCCTTCTGATTTGATCTTCAGTACGGAGCGTAGGTGGCAGATGTTGATGAATGTCTGCAGTTTGTTGCAAATGCCTATCGTCACATGTTAAGTTTCTGAGTCATACAGAAACACTGACTTGACTGAATTGGTGTTGAAAATCTGGATCTTGTTCACGCTTTGTGCTGACTGCAGTAGATCTTTGCACTGATTTCGGATTAGTGAAAGCTTGTCTTGCTTTTCTGATCCTGGTTTTGACATCCTCGTCTGTACCGCCTGTAGTTGAAACAATGCTCCCTAGGTAGGTGTAGGTGAAAGAGACTACTTCCTTTAAGTTTCTACCGTTGATGGTGCTTGTTGTTGTTGGTTGAGTATATTCATCACCTCTGTCTTCTCTACATTCACTTGAAGTCTCATCTTCGCTGCCCTGCCTCTTCTGTCAACTTGTTAGTTTTCACCTTTGAGTTTGAGTTTGTACAACATAAGACATTAGACATAAATCATCATCGATGAAATCTAAATCTTCTGGGATCTTTTCATCGGTCTAGCCAGCGTATGCCCATCTTCTCACTCCTCCCGGTTTTTCGCATGATCCAGTCCACCACAATCAGCATGATTCCGCGCCAGTTCTTGCAAAGGCTTATGTCTCCCTCCTTTGGGAGTTTGACAAGGTAACTCTTCTTCCAGTCGGCTGGTACCTTGACTTCGTTTCAAACCTTCTACAGTAGTAGTCTGAGCATGTCCACTGTTGTCTCTGCGTCTGTTTTCAGTGCTTCGGGAGGAATTCCGTCTGATCCTGCTGATTTCCCGGATTTCAACAGTTTTATGGCATTCAAGACTTCTGCTTTTGTCGGAGGGCCTGTGTTCACCTGTAGTTCTGCCGTTGCTGATGATATTTCCAGACGAGTAGCAGGTGGTGGTCTATTCAAGAGTTTTTTTTGAAGTGGTCAGCCTATTGCTTCCTTTGTTTCTCCTCTTTAGTAACTAACTTTCGTTCATTATCTTCCATTGGTTTCATCTGTGTTGATCTCTTCCTAGATTGTAACCTGGTTATTTGATATAATGTTGTCAGGTCTCTCCTATCTACAGTCTATTGTGCTTCACTTACCAATGTGTCGTAGAAGTGTCTTTTGTCTTTGTGTGCACTCTTCTTCACTTCTTTGTCCAGTGTTTTATACATTGTGCTCAGTTCCTTTTGTCATTGAGCATCTTTGCACTGGTTCAGCTGCTTCAGCATCCTTCTCTCTTCTATTTGCTTACATATGTCCGTTTTAAGGCATGGTATAATATGAAGTTGAATCTTATCTAGTTAGTAAAATGTATGCTGCATGGTGGTAGTTGTATTCATAGTCATGCTTTATTTGTTTTGCTATCATATTTGTGTTATGAAATATATTTTTCAAGGTTTTATTTACTTCTTTATGTAAAGTATTGCTTTATTTTATTTTAGTAGAGGCTATTGTTTTAATCATTATGGTCAGTTAGTTGTGAATATATGGTGGTATACTACTCTTTATTTAATGTTCTTAATTCATATTGTTCCCTTTTGTTTATATACTACTGATATACAGTAATGGATTACTCATTTAAGTTGCTATTAACTCTTATTTAGTCGCATGAGAGAGGGGTTACAACCCAGTTTTATTTGTATTGTAGTAAATGTAACATATTGTATATTGAACAAGACTTAAGGTCATATTTTAAGTAGATAAATTACACAATGCTTTTTGTTGTTGTTGTTGTTATTTTTATACATGGATAGGATTTACTTCGTGAAGTAATGGATGCATTTGATAAACGACGTAGTGGTGTTGACTTCCGTGGATCTGAATCTTTTGATTGGTAGGTGATAATGACCTGTATAATAAAATACTAATAATGTTTTATCTTAATTTTTACCTTACTGATTGAAATGATGAGATAACGTATGACTTTATAGTTGCACCCATGAGTTATTCTGAAAGACCACCCTAGCAACGACTTAAACAGCCAATCAGGTTTGTTTATTTCAGTTAGAAAGGTAAATTTCCATAAAATATGGACCTTTAATTGGTTAATTTAGTTGTTGTCAGGGCGACGTTTAGAGTCAAATCAAAACATAGTTTCACTGAAAAAACTTCAGGTGGGTAGGCATTATTACTAGCGTTCACACTAAAGGTATAGCTCAAACCCAATAGAGTTGTATTACTTTTTATCATATATGTCTGTAAGTGCCAAGATGACTTGTTGTCCAGTTTTACTGTGTAATATGATGCAATTGAGCAATTACCATAATATTACATACAGTAAGGAATAAATATAATGATACCTAGTTGCGACTATGCTCAAACAATCACTTGTTTTCCAATCAGTGCTATCTTCAAACTTAAAGCGCGATATTGTCTCATCAGTGAATACATATAGATTGTATTCCTATCAATTATCACTGGAGACAATCAGTGGAAGACTGCTTTTCCTCCTGGAACGTGTGTTTGGACAACATTGACCTTGCTTAGATCTGCGTCTGAATGAACGTTTAATTTAGAGTTGAGGATGGTAAGGCGACTTTTTCAATGAAACTTTCTCAGCAATTATCAGAATATGAAGAAACCTGGTGCTGTAGCTAGTCTGCTTCAAAAAAACAGCGTTAAATATCTCAACTTTTCCGTATAACAAAGGTAAGAAAGAGTCAGTGGATAACAATAGCTTCATCTAAATGAATAGGTGCAAGCAAATACCCTTCTACAGACTCCACGCTAGACGAGTAGTCTCTGTGGTCACTATTAGTAGTGGTAGGTAACGGAGGCTAAAAAAAAAAAGGAAAACGCAGTGGTAATGGTCAATAATAGGCAGTTATTTAAAATTTCCTAGAGAATATATAAAAACGCTCACAGTCAGTTAAGCTATAGCAAATAAGCACAGTAGATGAGTAAAATGATGGAGGGAAACTTTAAGGAACAACTCAACTGACCTCCAGCTACTCTTTGGATGTCGAGTGTCCATTCTTATAAATGTTGAACTGGATATAAATAGCCTGGGGGCCGACCTTTTCTGACCCCTGTCTCCTTCTCACAGTGGTGGCACTTCTAATCATCCAAGGGAAACACCTTACCACTATCACACTTCCTTTCAGTCAACAGTATGACTTCACCCTTAGACCTCCATTTACAGCGTAGTATAACTGGTTTTCACCTAGCCACCATACAACAAGCCTTTCTGATATCGTCGAACCTATTTCGGAATAAGCGTTTCACCATCATAGTTCATTGTGTCATTATGATATACAAGCCTAAACACCATTTATTCATTAAATTCACCTTTCATTTGTTTTCTAATCTGTTCTATTTTGTTTTATTGAATCAATGAAATTTTAGTTTGGATATCAGTCAAGCAGATGGGGAAGTTAAGCTAAATGTGAGTCTGAATAATTCGATTTATTTTCGTTTATACTTTGAATTTCCGGTTGATTGATTCATTCTTGAACTCACTTTAAAAAAAACTGCTGAGATAACCAATTAAGTTTTCTCTATTTTATGGGGAAAAAACCTATCCTTTGCGAAATAAATAACTCCAATTGGTTTTCCAGGGAATGGATAAGATGTCCTGTAGACACACTCTTTCTAATCAAAGTGCTGATTTGGTTACCTTCTTGTTGGGACATATTGCCCCAGTCATGTCAATGTTGAGTAATACTGAGGTAAGGCGAAGGGAACTAAGCAGAACAGGCAAGTCATCGCCTAAGAAGATTGATGAAAACCTTAATCGATTGAGATGACTTGGACATGTATTGCTCATGCCAATCCATCGCCTACCCCAATGTGCCATGTTGAAATAGGTTGGAAGAAGGTCTAGGGTGCTATGACAAAGATGTGACAGCAGTCGATCAAGTCTCTTACCATTGGTCTGAGGTATATCGGGAAATGTAGACTAACTGTCTGGAGTTCCCATGGCGACAAGAATCAGTTGTTGAAGTCTCTTGGTGATGGCTAAAAATTTATGCATATTTTCTAGTTATTCAGAAACGTTAACAGAAGTTTCAATTACTTAGCTGTAAAACGTTACGTTCATCATGTTCACTAGTAAGAATTCCTAGTTTCAGAAGGAAGTTGGATCCATTAACTAAGTCGATGCGATGTTGGGTAGGTAACCTGGAAGGTTGTCAGTTTGAATCATTTTGTTCCCACTCCAATGGTCTCCCCGCATATATAAGTTGATTCTTCCGGTTAAATTAAACTGCTGAGATCCGTTCCTTTGATATGGACATTTTTAAAGAGTTAAGTTTGACTATTTCATAAACCTTAATAAATGGTACTTATTATGAAGGACAGTACAAACATCATAAAAACTATACCCATTGCATACAAAAAGCCTATCGTGACTTGGGGACCTAGTGGATAATGCTCTGACATTTAATGTGATCGGCCCCAGGTTCGAGTCTTGGTGGAGACTACATCGCGCTCACTGTAAGACCTGTATGCGCAGATGCTGAGTCTCAAATAGAATGAAACGCGTGTCCTGGATTCTTCTGTTAACAACTACCCATCGTTACTACAAAGATGATAATTTTTATTTGATCGACATGCATATTTCAGCTTCTTGGTTGTCTTCTCTGTGCTGGCTTGTTTAATCGTCAAGCTTTCATCGTCTTTCCGGACAACATCATCAGGACAAACTTCAGTATGAAGTTTAGCGCTTACCGAATTCTATCAATTATTTTGTAATATGCCCACCAAGCTGGAATGCTCAGAATTACAGTTCACTTTCATTGATGCTCAACACTCTGATGTGGTTAGGGAAGCCTACAGATGAGCCTGAGTGGTTGTCAAACTACTCAGATTGTCCAGTAGTAGTATCTTTTGTCAGTTAGTTAGTTCATGACATTTTTGTATCTGAGATCACACTTTGGTGATACAACAGTTTGGTAGGTGGAGAATCATTCAACTGTGAGAAATGTTAAGGTGGAGCGTTCAATTTGTAAATCATATGTAAATTAGTCATTATAACTTTACTACTTTTACTCAATTGAAATGTTAGACTGAAATAGCTGAAGGTATATTATTTTATTTGTTGATTTATGAAAGAATGTTGACTACTTTTGAGAGCTGAGTTAATGTTACCGTCAAGTTTTCTGTTGATTAGACGTAAGCATGACAGGATGAAATGGAACTTGTTTTTCGATTGGTGTTACTTAGACTTCACTTTCTCTAACTAGTATTTATGGATAATGTTGTAATTCTGCGTTGTTTTAGTGTATTGAATTGTTTGAGGTGTGTTGGGATATGGGTTGGTTTGTGGATGCCTCGATATTGTTTGAATGTTAGTAATGGTAAATTTACTTGTAGATGTCTAGGAGATGAATGTAGGAGGTGTGTGTCGTCCTATTTGTGAGTGGATGTACCTATAGTGCAGTGTGGAGTGATGTTATTCTGATTGATAGATAGATGGATACTCTAAGGTCGTATGCATTGGTTCATCGCCACAGCGTTATGCACTATGCCAGGGAGGCTCGATATCCACCTCTTGTACAATTGGTATTAGTTATTACTGTGTATGCATATGCTTGTAGTTCTCCGTTGTTTTTTTTTGTTTTTTCTGTTATTGAATTGAATGGTTTGACTTCTTCTCTACTGATGGCTGTAACGAAGTGAATTACCATGATTCAGTTTTTAAGTTTGTTAATGGTGGGATATGAGGTGACTCAACAAGATATACTGACTAAAATGTTTACACATTTCAAATTCAGCATGACAATGGGATGGGTTGATTGTCTACCGAATGAGTACATCATATGGAGTTGAAGTGGATGAATAAAGTGTGACTATTGTATTGAGGAAATGTAGAGGATCAGGAGGAGTATGATTATGTTTGGCCTAGATATTCACCTGTTCACTATGTGACGATGTCACTGAGGCATTTTTATGTAAATGAGTTTACTTTATAATTACTAATGTTTTTCCTATGATCATGAAGTTATTTAACTGGGAAGTTATATTGATTGTACTAGTTTGTTTAGAAAAATTGAAGGGAGAATGGGGAGTGATTCGAACTTGGCATGATAAAGTATATTTTATGTATAAGAATTGAAGGTCGAAAAGAGACACACACACACACAGGGAGAGAGAGTGAAGGGAATAGATGGTTTATGGATGCTGTTCAATGATATTTTTTATATTTCTGACACTTAAATAACTGATATTAATAATAATGGATAGTGACTGGGAGTAGAATCCAGACTGCACATTTCGTCGTATTTGGGACTCGTTAGCTACATGTACCTGTACCCCCGTACGAAGTGTTATTTGTATTGATACTCAAACCTCGTATTCATCGCTTCAAAGGCCGATGCTTTATCCACAACTAGGCCTAACAACTTCATCGAGTAAAAGGACGGAGAGTTATAAGCATATCTACAAATAGTAATCGTCCACTTCGATATAGTCTCATGTTTATGTATTTCATATGATAATCGCAATCCACTCATGTGTAGACATGATGTGGACATTTATAGACATTTATAAAGCATATATATCCAAGATTTGTGAAACATTCCCAAAGTTTAACAATGGTAAAAAGTTGGACCTGGTAGCCCAATTTGTAGAGCATCGGGCCAGAAACCTAGTCGTCACTAGTTCGAAATTGTCCTCAGTCCAGACTAATAGAAAAACTGGGAGAAACTGAACAACTTCCCTTCTTCCTCGCTTTTGTCGTCCATTGCTCATTGACGAGTATTTATCCTACTTAATTAACGTCACTGGTTATACATGTCTTCTCAAAAGAACCTCGGAGGTATCCATCTTGAAGAAGGTTAAATAATGAACATTGTACAGTAATTCAGTTTAAAGTTTTATGGCGTTTGAAGCGAAAGGTACTGGGTTGTTGATTGTCAATGGGAATAACATTACTCCTGGATTCCATTATCAACCACGAGGTAGACCATAATGTAATGAACATACGAGCAGTTTTGAGGCATCTGTACAGAAGCTCATCTGTTAACAAAGGTCAAAACAACAACTTGTTTAGGCAGTTGAATAGGATCATTAGTATACTCCCCTCTTGCTACGTTCAATAGATATTACTGACAATTGAACATATGAACTTGTTTGTAAATGTTGAATTGTAATAAAATTTTGTTTTATTATACAATTATTCATTAAATTTGATATTAATTTTCCTCTTTTTTTCTTTCTATTCTTTAAGAATGAACCACAAGATAATGTTACAATAACACCTCCACCTATTCCTCCTGCACCTCGTACACGTTCAAAAAGACGTGCTCCACCACCACCACCACTACAATCATCATCATCATCATCATCATCTGCTTTTGTTAACACTGGCATTTCACATTCATCAATGGATCATATTATTGATTTATCGACATTAGAATTAGGTAATGATATCTTAAAAACAGATAATCTATTCATGAATGGAATTTCTACTCCAATACATGAAAATCATATTGATGAGAAATCGGATAAAATCACCTTAAATTATAATATAACAATAATACGTGAAGATTTAATTAATAATGAACAAGATAAAAAGTATAATAGCTCAGTTAGTATAGATCATAATAGTCAATCTTCTATACATGAAAATAATGAAAGAACATTGACACCAGCACCACCACGACCACCACCGCCTAAAGTTGATAATCATATTCCACCTTTAACATCAATATCACTTTGGAAAGCTAAACAAAAAGATGATTCTAAGCATGTTTCACGTCAACATCAATTAGAAATTGGTATTGGTCTTCCGCCTACACCAAAAGTTCATGTAAGTTATAACTAACCAGATATATTTTATATAAATATGTATATATATACTGAGGGGGAGGGGAAGATGATTGAACGTGAAATGACAATTTGGATCCCGACCGAACTCCAACCAGAGAAATATCAAGTACTAAAAGAGAGGAAGGAAGAATGAAAAAATGGTGAGAATCGGTATAGCCTCGTTAAGATGAGAATCATGTGTGTATACATCTGCACCACTGACATCGGTTTCAAACCATATCACCTAGAGTTAGTCTCCAACCACTGGTTCCTCTTGTCCTGTGGACCCCATCCGGCTAGTGTGTATCATCCCACATGGCTCAAACCAACAGTCAGAGACTTCATACATTGGTGCCATGTTTTAGACTGGCCACCTCGGGTCTTTTTCCAGTCTCAACCTACATCCAACAACCAACAGTGTGTGACAAGGTAATCGGTGACTAGGCATATGTAGTACGTGTGCAAACCATCTCAGTCGATGAAGGTACATAACCTCGTCAACTGATTTACCTCTACTCCCTAAAACTCTATACCTGATTTCTGCAATACTCACGTGGTGACTCTACGAAATACAGCCTATACTACAAAGGCAACAGTGGTCTAACACCTGAATCCTCCTCATATCTTTCTTTCTCTTTGAGTGGCCATGTTTTACAGACATACAGCAGAACAGAGCGGACTACTGTACAGTACACACGACCCTTAATAGGCAATCGGATATCACGGCGACATCATAGGTGGAGTAAATTGGCAAAAGCCAGTCGAGTCTTTTGTATTCATGCAGAGATTTCATTGGTCACTGAGCCACCAGGGTAGGACTCATCCTACTTCCCAGGTAAGTGGAATGGTCAACACACTCAATCTCTACATTCTCTATTATTAGGCTGTGTACTGTTGAAGATCAGCCACAGTTTGTTCTTCAGTGGCAAGAAAAGCATCCCAGACATTCTCAAATTGACACTCAAAGTGCTCACAAGACTCTGCATCTCATCAGTCAGCGTCTTCACCTAACAGGACTATGTCATCTGCATATTCTAGGTCTAACGAAAATTCTCCAGTGATTAGGTCAACGTCTGTGTAATCAGGTGACGAGAGGGAGACCTCCATGAGAATATCTATGCTAAGATGGAATAAGAATAGAGAGAGTGGGCAGCATTGAAGGACACCAGTCGATGAGTACAGCCTCCTGGACAACTCACCATATGCTCCAACATCCTCACAAGTGTTCGAGTAGAGAGCCTTCAATAAGGTGATTTACTTACTCAGGACGCCTTTCAGTGAGAGACATTGTCATACGACTGAGGTAGGTGGATTGCTGTTCGAATGTACGACATAAAATATGTAAATCAACCGCCTAAATCGCTAAAGGACATCACAGGTTTTATTCCTGCTCCATCTACATCACTCCGTACAGTCAGTTGGTATAATTAATCCTGGTACAATAAGTTTGCCTAATAGCCCAGTACATAAGCATGTACTGAGTTGAATTGTATGATTATTATTATTATTATTATTTGTCCCTTGGGTTCCTAATGGAACATAGAGCTTCAGTAGCACCTCTCCAATGCGTTCTGTTCTCTGAAGTCTTTTGAACCTGGTTCCATGACAGCTCAAAAGCTTTCATTTCTTCCTCACAAGATCTCCATGTCACCCTCGACTAGGACACCCTATTCGTCGCTTCCTATCTGGGTTCCACTCGAGCAACTGGCCTGACGCGAGCAGTCCCCAGTCGGCCTTCTCAGTGTATGCCCAATCCATCCCCACTTCCCTATTCTGCATATTTGTTGGGCGATAGGTTTCTTGGTCGGTTCTTTACCACGCCAGAGTTCATTGCTGCTTATTCTTTCTGGTCATCTGATCTTCAGTAACGAGCGTAATTATTTGTATTACTATGTAAATATTATTTATAATTTTCTAAGCATTCACATATTCAGACAGTGGTAAAGTACCAATGATAAACAAATGAAACAAAGTAGAAATTGTTTAGAAACTGTCATTAAAAAAAGAATTTCCTCAAATGTTATTTTACAGTATTGTTTCTGTTGGATTTGTATGAAATATAGTTAACATTTTTAAATTATTGTTTTCGCGCCATTTCTACGCTATGATCAGTAGTTTATTCCCCTTCTCCTCATTTTCAAGGTAATTCGCTGATAGGAAAATAACAGTTTCTCTCATAGCCAATTTGTTTTAACAACTTTTACAGATTCCTTGATTAGTGTTTCATGCAGTTTTTTTTTGAAAAGTAATGGTTAAAACCATGAATCATCGATACCCATCGTTTTGTAGCCTAAATGGTTTTGTTGCATTTTTGTAATTTATTGGGAGTTATAGACATATTATTCCACAGCATGAAGGTATCACCTGTAAATCTGATAGGGTGCAGTCATGGTTTATCGGTGTAGGAAGCTGATTTCAAACCAATGGGTTATGGGTTCGAACTCAGTTCCATGTATTATAGCATAAGCAAGATTAAGTGTAGCTCAATGCCTGCTACATGAATATACATAAAGTTACTGGGTCGATTTCAAAATCCAATAGAAGGGGTGGGGTGGAGGGAAGACTGCTGATCAAACAATCAAGTACAAAAAGACAAAAAGTGAGCTAATTCACAAACTGATAGAAAGTAGTGATTTGACCGGTGTTGAAATTTTTCTATACTGATAGGAAATAATCTGACCTATAGTTACACTTCTGTTATTTGATATTAGGTTCAAACTTGAATAGGATCAGGATGTGAATCTCTCAAAAGTCTTTCAGACATGAAACTATCCACTACCACAGGATATTATGGTTTATGGTGAGGTAGACAAATGGTGAGTACAGTAAACCAAGCACTAAGTAGCATGCTATCGTTAAGGGCAATCCCCTCAGATAGATATACAGACAGAAAAATTCAGTGTAGAACCACTCACACAAGTACATCAGTTCAAGCTGTCTACGCCTCAAAAAACTCGGCTCGTACCAAGTCAAGGACTTGATGGCTACTTTGAACTTTCTCCCAACCTAATCCAACTTCTACCAGCATTGCACATAAGAGTAGGTGATGCCTTGGAATGCCCAGTGCATTTCAATGTTATCTCAGTCGACTAAGGTTTACAACCTTGTCAATCGACTTGCCTGTCTTGCCTAGTACCCGAGATCCTGCCTGACCTCACCATGGCTCACACTGTGATTCCACCAAACCTAAGCAATACTACAAAAATATATGTGATCAAAACCCTGCAACCGCTTCACGTCTTTTGCTTTCAACGTCTATGACCTACAGCTGTATAACGAAACAGAACGGAATGCAGAACAGTATACTTGCCCTTTGATAGGCAGTCGGCACCACAGATGGCAAATGTCAAACAGGCTTTCTGTACGCGAGATGAGATTTCGTCAACAACCAAACCGTTCGGACTGATGCAACTACCCCGAGTAAGTGAAGTGGTCGACACATTCGTTGAAGACCAGTCCTAGAGTATCATAGTACACTCGACAAGTGCGAAATGCGTGCCAAACACACACAAACACTGTCTGCACTTTGTCAGCGACTTTACCTAGCAGGAAAATATCGTCTACGTTCTCCAAGTTGACCAGATGACCTCCGAAAAGTAGGTCAGTCCCCGGGAAGTCAAATATATCTAACGTCATGTCCATTAGTACGTCTATGACGAAGTTGAATAGGAACGGTGATAGTGGGTATCACTGAGGGATACCACTAGTTGTCGTCAACTAACTTGACAACTCTCCATAAGCCCTGACAAGGCTGTGTGACCTCGAGTATAGAGCTTTAACGTTATATGCTTGTTCGGTACCCCCTTCACAGTTCTACACTGCCACAACATTTCATGGTCGACTGAGTCAAATGCCGCCTTCAGGTCAACAAATATGACATGTGTCGACCACTGGTCGGTAAGTATGCCTGTGTTCCAGAACCTGTAGGAGGGTAAAAAATATGATGGACGAAGCCTCGTTCAAGTCTGAAACCTGCCTAGTTTTCTCGAGTTTGCTGTTTTTGAGCTCCCGATAGACGTCGGATAACTTTAGATGCTAGGATTTTGGACACAATATTAGTCAAACTCCCCCCTCCCCTCCCTATGGTTGTCACAGGAAGATTTCTCTCCTTTTATAGACTGGGATGATCAAGTATGCCAGTCTGAAGGCCCTAACATTGATTCCCTACACTACATAGTGCTTCCTTCACTTTAACTAGCAATTCCTAACCTTTATACTTGGAAACTTCGGTTGGGAAAGTGGCAGGACATGCGGCTTTCCACTGCTTCAGTTTCGATATGGCCTTCGCAAGCCACTCCATTTTATAAGAAAATACAGAAGTGTTCATGAAACAAACAACCACAGTGAAATTCATGATGTCTAAGATCCTACCATCCATATTCATCCAGTGTCTAACCGAAGCTCGATAATATCAAACCCGAAAAAACTAGGTAGGTTCCAGACCTACATGGCGATGCATCGACCACATCCTAACGCTTCGACAGGCTGGGGAACACAGGAACACCAGTTGGCATCTAAAACTTGACTTGTAGGCGACAATCGACTTCACAGATCGAAAGACCTTGTGGCAGTGTCTGACTGTAAACAATGTATTCAGCAGGTGTAATACACTAATTAAGACTCTACCCGAATTTATACAGCCGTGTAAGCATTTCAGGAAAATTGATATCTGAAGCGATGACAAACAGTGTCCACAACATTTGACTTCTGAAAAAGAAGATCTGATTGATCTAAATGACATAGTCTTGTAAGGGAAGGATTCTGAAAAGTACAGTCTTCTGAACATTCAGAGCAGAAATCTGAGTATGCTTGACATGAACTTGACACCTGTTAAACATAGGACTGGTTTCCTTATCACCTTCTACTTCATAGATAGCAAGTGAAATGATAAAATACTTTGAACGAATACCTAATGAGCTGCTTGCTGACAAAATCTTAGCTCGCATACAGCAGGCCTGATTATCATTTTTCAGATATATAGTATTTATGGCATCCCGGAGATAGGTATACTGCACAGCAAATTCGCTCGTCAGATTGTGTGGCTGTGAGATAGTCGCTGAAAAAAAAGAGATAAACAGGTTACAGGCCTTTCGATTTTAAATGCTTTGATATAATTGCTTACAAATCATATAATCATCATAAGAACAGTGCTGAGCTTAGACATAAAAGAGTATTGGACAAAGAAGGCTAGTTAGTCGATGAAGTTATAAAACTTCACCAACTAGGGTGGTGTGAACATTCAAAGAAAATTTTTTTTCCTTTAGGTTCCTAGTGGAACATAAAGCATCAGTAGCACGGTACCATCTTACTCTATTCTCTCCAGTCTCCTTAACCTAGCTCCACGACTGCGCACAAGCCTTCATTTCTTCCTCACGCTATCTCATCCATGTCATCCTCAGACGCCTAATTCGTCGTTTCCCATTTCGCTTCCAATTGGCGGCTTGGCATGGCCTGGAGCGTAATGTTCCCAAACCGTCTTCTCAGTGTATCCCAGATCAATCTCCACTTCCTTCTTCTCCATATTTGTTCGGCGATAGGTTCTTGGTAGGCTGGTTCGTGGCCAGCTCAGAGTTCCTCCACGCCTATTCTTTCTGCTCACCTGGTCTTCATCTTCACTATCGAGTAAGTGTAGGCGGCGAATGTTTATATATGTCTGTAGTTTGTTGGAAAAGCTTTTCGCAGGGCGCCAAGTCTCTCAAACATCACAAAGAAGCACTGACTTGACTGAGTCATTGTTGAAAATCCTGAACTTTCTTTATGCTGAGTGAGGTGGAATAGATCTCTACACTGATTTCAGTTAAATGAACGCCTGTGTTGCTATCTTTCTGATCCTGGCTGCTTTGACATCCTCATCTGTGTCTCCTCTCTCTCTCTCTCTCTCTCTCTCTCTCTCTCTGTGTGTGTGTGTGTGTGTGTGTGTGTGTGTGTGTGTGTGTGTGTGTGGATATCTCAGATAGCCGTGGTTTGGCAGATTAGTATTTATACTGGGGTCTCTCAATGAAAGGCGTCCTGAGTAAGTAAATCACCTTATTGAAGGCTCTCTACTCGAACACTTGTGAGGATGTTAGAGCATATGGTGAGTTGTCCAGGAGGCTGTACTCATCGACTGGTGTCCTTCAATGCTGCCCACTCTCTCTATTCTTATTCCATCTTAGCATAGATATTCTCATGGAGGTCTCCCTCTCGTCACCTGATTACACAGACGTTGACCTAATCACTGGAGAATTTTCGTTAGACCTAGAATATGCAGATGACATAGTCCTGTTAGGTGAAGACGCTGACTGATGAGATGCAGAGTCTTGTGAGCACTTTGAGTGTCAATTTGAGAATGTCTGGGATGCTTTTCTTGCCACTGAAGAACAAACTGTGGCTGATCTTCAACAGTACACAGCCTAATAATAGAGAATGTAGAGATTGAGTGTGTTGACCATTCCACTTACCTGGGAAGTAGGATGAGTCCTACCCTGGTGGCTCAGTGACCAATGAAATCTCTGCATGAATACAAAAGACTCGACTGGCTTTTGCCAATTTACTCCACCTATGATGTCGCCGTGATATCCGATTGCCTATTAAGGGTCGTGTGTACTGTACAGTAGTCCGCTCTGTTCTGCTGTATGTCTGTAAAACATGGCCACTCAAAGAGAAAGAAAGATATGAGGAGGATTCAGGTGTTAGACCACTGTTGCCTTTGTAGTATAGGCTGTATTTCGTAGAGTCACCACGTGAGTATTGCAGAAATCAGGTATAGAGTTTTAGGGAGTAGAGGTAAATCAGTTGACGAGGTTATGAACCTTCATCGGCTGAGATATGAGTAACTCAGAAGTCGTCAGGTGTAGGTGTATAGTTTTAGGGAGAAGAGCTAAGGCAGTTTATGTAGTTGTGAACCTTCATCGACTGAGATGGCTGACTGGGACATGTGTTACATATGCCTAATCGCCGTCTGCCTTGTCACACACTGTTGGCTGTTGGATGTAGGTTCAGAGTGGAAAAAGCTACCAGGCGGCCAGACTAAAAGATGAGATGAATGTATGAAGTGTTTGACTGTTGGTTTGAGCCGTGCAGGGGGGGTGGGGTGGGGGTGATGCAGATTGTGTGGTTGGGGTCGGCGGGACAAGAGGAATGAGTGGTTTGCGACTGTAGGTGATGTGGCTCAGAATCGAAGTCAGTGTCGCAGATGTATACACACATGATTCTCATGTAAACGACGTTATACCGATTCTCACCATTTTCTCATCTTTCTCTTTCTCTCTTTTAGTACTTTGTATTTCTTTCGACTGTATTTTATTTTCTTCATCTTTCACCTCACTGCCTTTTCACTTGATATACTGATATGAGGTGTGGCGACTGGGACCGTCACGCCGTGATGTCTAGTCCTATGTTGATTTGCATGGATAGATGGACCTCAGCCTGACTAACTTTCACATATCATATATCACTCATAGCCTAATGAACAAACATTTATTCCATTAGTGAGTGGTATTCTAATCAATATCAAGAAAGTAGATTTAGTTTTCCCTATATTTTATGTTTATTTTTTGTAGATGGGCGCTTGTTTTATGCAAATATTTGAAGGTTGTCCACTGAAAGTGAACTCGACTGCTACTTGGGTGAATCCAGAAACTCTAAGTAAGTCTGTCTTTTCAGCAACTTTGAATTAAACACTGCTAAGTGTGATAATCGAATTTCGTATTTATGTCTTATTTAATGATGAGTTTTATAATCCTTTTTCTCATAAGTTTACTCGCGAAATATACTTCGGAACAGCTTGAGTAGTTAGAAGCAACTCAGCCGAATCTGCAGATCAAAGTACTCTAGACACCGGATGACCGTTTTGTTTCCAACAGAAACCTAGTGGATACGACAGTTTGATGGCAATTGAAGAACTAGTGAGCTATGAGAAATTTCATCCTAGTCCATATATGTTGTCAGGTAGACAGATTTAGGTTATGTGAATTGATTGATGTGTATGAAGTGAACTTGTCGGAGTACACCACTGACAGGTTGATTCGATCGAAAACGAGCGAAAGTGTTGTCCTGTATTTCTAACACTTTGATGTGGTTAGTGAAGCCTACAGATGAACCTGAGTGTTTGTCAAACTGCTCAAATTGTCCAGTAGTAGTATCTTTTGTCAGTTAGTTAGTTCATGACATTTTTGTATCTGAGATCACACTTTGGTGATACAACAGTTTGGTAGGTGGAGAATCATTCAACTGTGAGAAATGTTAAGGTGGAGCGTTCAATTTGTGAATCATATGTAAATTAGTCATTATAACTTTACTACTTTTACCCAATTGAAATGTTAGACTGAAATAGCTGAAGGTATATTATTTTATTTGTTGATTTATGAAAGAATGTTGACTACTTTTGAGAGCTGAGTTAATGTTACCGTCAAGTTTTCTGTTGATTAGACGTAAGCATGACAGGATGAAATGGAACTAGTTTTTCGATTGGTGTTACTTAGACTTCACTTTCTCTAACTAGTATTTATGGATAATGTTGTAATTTTGTGTTGTTTTAGTGTATTGAATTGTTTGAGGTGTGTTGGGATATGGGTTGTTTTGTGGATGCCTCGATATTGTTTGAATGTTAGTAGTGGTAAATTTACTTGTAGATGTCTAGGAGATGAATGTAGGAGGTGTGTGTCGTCCTATTTGTGAGTGGATGTACCTATAGTGCAGTGTGGAGTGATGTTATTCTGATTGATAGATAGATGGATACTCTAAGGTCGTATGCATTGGTTCATCGCCACAGCGTTATGCACTATGCCAGGGAGGCTCGATATCCACCTCTTGTACAATTGGTATTAGTTATTACTGTGTATGCATATGCTTGAATCGAAATGTTCGACTTCTTCTCTACTGATAGCTGTAATGAAGTAAATTACCGTGATTCAATTTTAAAGTTTGTTAATGGTGGGATATTAAGTGACTTAACAAGATATACTGACCAAAATGTTTACACATTTCAAATTCAGCATGACAATGGGATGGGTTGATTGTCTACCGAATGAGTACATCATATGGAGTTGAAGTGGATGAATAAAGTGTGACTATTGTATTGAGGAAATGTGGAGGATCAGGAGGAGTATGATTATGTTTGGTCTACATATTCACCTGTTCACTATGTGACGATGTCACTGAGGCATTTTTATGTAAATGAGTTTACTTTATAATTACTAATGTTTTTCCTATGATCATGAAGTTATTTAACTGGGAAGTTATATTGATTGTACTAGTTTGTTTAGAAAAATTGAAGGGAGAATGGGGATTGATGCAAAGTTGGCATGATAAAGTATATTTTATGTATAAGAATTGAAGGTCGAAAAGAGACACACACACACACAGGGAGAGAGAGTGAAGGGAATAGATGGTTTATGGATGCTGTTCAATGATATTTTTTATATTTCTGACACTTAAATAACTGATATTAATAATAATGGATAGTGACTGGGAGTAGAATCCAGACTGCACATTTGGTCGTATTTGGGACTCGTCAGCTGGATGTACTTGCATCCCAGCGGGTTTTGTTGTTCCCGAAAGCGATCACTTCAAATGCTAGAGATAATACAAGCAATAATATAAGAAGCGAAACTCATGGCATACAAAGTAACTGTTGAGAGTTGGTGGCCTGGTAGGTTAAGGGCTTGCATTTGAAGCGACCACCCCTTTATCCGAATCTCAGTTGGAAGCAGCTCATCCATTAAGAAGTGGTTGCATGCAGCTGACGAGTCCCAAATAGGACAAAACGCGCGTCCTGCATTTTACTCCCAGTCACTATCCATTGATCATAATAAGTTTGAAAATACTGATAATATTGAGATATCCTTAAGGAGAACAAATGCCAATAGTTGCTGGTCAATCCCATCCAATCAACGCCGAAAATATGCAAAGTACATTATCGAATACCTAAGTGACGCATGAATTTTCGGTAGATAATGTTCTGTTAAAATAAGTTTGTCAATATTCTAGCGTTCCGGGTGTTCAGATAGATAAATATGACCATATTTCTCGAGAAACGTACTCGATTCGTGATCATTTATCAGCCCTATACATTACTTAATACAAGGTTACTGATATTTATCTTCGATGAATAGCTTTAAAATGTAGAGCATACGCGGTCATACAACAAACCTTCACACGTGTAGAACGGTATCTATCATAGCAAAAAACGGGTAGAATAATGTTACCATTATGAACAAATTAAGCCATCATCCGTTATATTGTCGGTGTACGAGCTATAGCTTACTGCTTTACGTTGTTGACCTTCAACCAGTGGGTTACATGTTCTAAGTCATCGAGGTTTGAACAGCCACCTACTATCAAAAATCCTTACGCAATCAGTTTGGTTTATTGCCTTCTGAGAGAATATACACAAAGTTACGTCGACCGAGAAGTATTTTGCGAGCATCTCCCTCAACAATACGGTTTCAGTCCCATAAAGCCTTACCAATCTCATTCAACACCTATATGATGCTACATGTTGAGTGATTGACAATGCAAAGCTGAGTGATGCCTTTTACGTGAAGTGAAGACAGGAAGGAGTATGACAAGGTTGCCGCCTACTATCATCAATCACCATCCTGATTGTGGTCGACTGGACTGGACTGAAGTCGACTGGATGATACAAGAAATTGTGAGGAGCTATGAGAAGATGAACATACGCTGGCTGGATGAATGAAATAACCACAGAAGAAGATTTGGATTTCGCCAACGATGATGATTTATGTCTAATGTCTTATATTGCACAAACTCGATGATCTACAGCCGAAAACTAACAAGTTGGCACAAGAGGTGTGGTGGGGTGAGGCGAGGCGAGGCGAAGCAGCAAAGGAGGGACTTATTTCAGGTGAACGTAGAGAAGGCATAGGTGATGAAGATACACAACCAACAACAACACAAACGCACCAATCAACATCAGTGGGAGAAATCTAAAGGAAATTGTCTCTTCCAATTACCACCTACCCAACTAGACAGCATTGTCTCAACTGCACGTGGCACAGTCACAAATGAGGATGTGAAAGCATACAGGATCGGAAAGACAGCAACACAGGCCTTCCTTCATTAATCTAAAGTCAGTGTGGAGATCTGCATCACGCCACACCACACCGCACTGCACTGCACTGCACTCCACTCAACATAAAGCGTGAACAAGATTCGAATTGTCAACACTAATTTAGTCAGGTAAGTCAGTACTTCTGTATGATGGTTGAGAGACTTGGCGTGTTACAAAAAGCATTTCCAACAGCTTCCTACACTCGATACTGAATATCAGATCAGAAGACCAGGAAGAATGAGCAAGGAGGAACTCTGTCCTGGCAACAGACCAACCAACCAACAAACTAAAACCCTATCCCCGAACAACTATGCAGAATAAGAAAGTGGAGATGTAGGTGGATTGGATTGGATATACGTTGAGAAGATGGTTTGGGGGTATCATGTATCACACCAGGCCATGCCAGGCGATGTAATCGAGTGGAACCCAAGGGGGAAACGACAAGTTAGTCGTCCGTGAGTGATATGGAGGAGATGGTGTGAGGGAGAAACGAAAGGTTATGGGCAGTGGTGGAGCCGGGTTAAGGAGACTGTAGAGAAGAGAGTGAAGTGGCGACGTGGTAGTGAAGACCTATGTTCCACTGAGAACCCAAGGGTATAATAATAGTAATAATGTCACAGAAAGAATTTTTGATTGACAAACAGCTATTCGTATTTGCTTACGATAAGATCCTCATTTAAGTCACCTTTCTGATTCATACATATTTGACTACACCTCGAAATATATATTGACTATGACAATAACATCGACAAGTATCACATTGATGATGATGATGATAATATCAGCGTTAAGAGAACACGGACAGTCATCGTTAATAACTCATGAGTCGTCAGTTTCGGATGTTACCATGACACTCCTTGGGAAACTCAATCGATGTATTGCAGCATTCTAAGAATAAGTTTCAACATATAATTACCAACCAGTGGTGCAAAACCTTATCTGAACCGACATTGTATGATATTGAACAAGTTAATCCAACTTCGTTCTCTTGACCTCACATAGAGACTGATCACTTTACTTCATGAGTTACTGGAATTCAATGACTCAACCGACTTATTTTCTACCGTACACACATCTTCGACCACGTTGTAGGTTTCAATGACATTTATCAGCGTAGTCTTTCATCGTAAGCAATCGTGATCGTACGGATTGTGGGGCGTTCCATGCATTCGGCTTCATCATGAATTTGGAAATGAATGGATAAAACTATAACATTGTAAGTGTTAACGACCAACTATGTTAGTAGAAGCAACAACTTTGGAGAGAGAGAGAGAGAGTGATATGTAAGCTTTAGACGACATCAAAGAGTAAATATATCTGTGCCATTATAATCGATTTTCAGCCATATCACCAAAAATCAATCCTTAACCACTCATTCCATTCATCTCAAGGACCTCCTAGACAAGGATTCTATATCTCTTACGGAGTTTAGACCAGCATGGTACTTTGAAGTAAGTGATGCTTTAGGATGTACAGTACATGTTCAAGCCATTTCAGTCGACTAACATGTACAACCTTATCAATGAATTTGCCTATCTTTGCGTAGTAACCTTAGTATAATTGTTTTTATATGATACCGTTGTTGATTGGACCGAATTGATCGGTCTCTATTAGCATATGGGTTCCTGTACGGATGCCTCAATATTGCCAGTGTTCTAATTATGTTAATGATGGATCGTGGCTAGCATTAGAATCTAGGATGCGCATTTCGTCCTATTTAGGACTCGTCAGCCCGATGGGAACAATATTCACTCACTGGGAAGCAGGTACATTCAGCTGACGAGTCCCAAGTAGTAACCTTTCCTTGATCTCAATATTTCTCACACTGTGATTTCATTAAAACTAGAGCAATACTATGAAAAATAATTTTTGTATGCTTGTTAAATGCAATTATTCTGACTGACTTTATGATACAGTTTAGTTGACTTGAATACTAAGCATTTTATTCTTTGATGAGAACATTATCTTCATGATTCCACTAACTTTACAATCATTTCCAACAGTTTTACTTAGACATGAAAAAAAAATCAATCATTTACAGAAATATATGCTACAAACATTTCATCTACATTTGATTGGTCACTAGATAGCAACCAAATATCATATTGTCAAGTTCTGAGTATAATCGACTACAATACTGGGTGATACAGGCTCAAATCTCAAGCGGTACATCAGTTCCATCATAGTTACATATACGTCTTGCTGACGTTTACCAACAAGCACGAAATCTAGGTCAAACAGAGCTTCCCACCGATTGCCTCCAACCAACTAACAAATATTTAAGATTATGATTCTCAACCAGTAAAAGTCCTCTAAGAAGGCTAGATAAAGTTGTTATTAAATTTAGGCGGTTTGTAGGGGATTTAAAGATATTTTAAGTTATGCAAAAATTCCCATTTAGACATTTAGTAAAACAAACAATATGAGCGAAGAAATATTTCTTTTCAATTAGTTCCTCATCAATGGCTCTACACTAATATAGCATTTTCAAACGTAAAATTACATACCAATCTAGTGGTGAGAGTTGTTCAATGAAAGGTTATCAATCTCAAAATTTCAAGAAGGTGATAATTGATTAGGTAATTAAGACAGTTAACTAAAGCAAAGATTAATTAGCGTAGAAAGATTTTGCGAACAGGTTCTTACATAATTGATATTTTATATAATGATAACTAAAGAGCAAAAATTAACTGTTACGTAAAATGGTAAATTGTTGACGGTAATTAGAGACAGTAGGGGGAGAGAAAGATGATTAAGTCTGTAATAATAATAATAATGGAGCTATTGAAATACTAGTTATAGTGAATTGTGTGGTGGATGGAATGAAGAGTCTTGTCGTAATAAATGAGCTATACAGATGGCCAGGGCAAAGAAAGAGGCTGTACGAATCTCTTCTGAACACACAGACTTGGTTTGTGTAGATGGATTCCTATGGCTTCTGCTGTATGTGAAAGACAAACTCGTAGAGCATGGGTGAGGTGAGAAGGAATGTGATAAATAACTTTAAAGGCATTATGAATGTTAACTCGGTGGCCGGTGTCAATCACATGAGAGAGTATTGAGCTTCGTGTCAATCTGGTTTGAAGGATGATGCTCGGCGATTCGATGACGGACTTGCCTAACTGTACGTCCAATGTAACTAGCTCCACAGGAGCAGTTGAACTGGTAAATGCACATAGAAGAGGAGAAGTCAGGGAGTCTGTCTTTAGTTTGTGTGGTCATCATCGGCCGGCTATAGAAAACACAACATAACTTGGCGGCATTAAATGATCTTCTTATGGCCTACAGTCTCCAAGAAACCATTGTTTCTAAGACTACAATTTCGAGGTGACATCATCAGCGAAATTGTGACACAACGCTTAAGAAATGCCATAAGATCATGTGATTGACACCGGCCACCGAGTTAACATTCATAATGCCTTTAAAGTTATTTATCACATTCCTTCTCACCTCACCCATGCTCTACGAGTTTGTCTTTCACATACAGCAGAAGCCATAGGAATCCATCTACACAAACCAAGTCTGTGTGTTCAGAAGAGATTCGTACAGCCTCTTTCTTTGCCCTGGCCATCTGTATAGCTCATTTATTACGACAAGACTCTTCATTCCATCCACCACACAATTCACTATAACTAGTATTTCAATAGCTCCATTATTATTATTATTACAGACTTAATCATCTTTCTCTCCCCCTACTGTCTCTAATTACCGTCAACAATTTACCATTTTACGTAACAGTTAATTTTTGCTCTTTAGTTATCATTATATAAAATATCAATTATGTAAGAACCTGTTCGCAAAATCTTTCTACGCTAATTAATCTTTGCTTTAGTTAACTGTCTTAATTACCTAATCAATTATCACCTTCTTGATACTTTGAGATTGATAACCTTTCACTGAACAACTCTCACCACTAGATTGGTATGTAATTTTACGTTTGAAAATGCTATATTAGTGTAGAGCCATTGATGAGGAACTAATTGAAAAGAAATATTTCTTCGCTCATATTGTTTGTTTTACTATATTTTAAGTTGGTTTTCATCCGACTGATATGGGACTCCTCAGCAGTGCACACCTATGACCCCACCAGGGATCGAACCTGCGACCATTAGATTTCGATGGTAACGTGCTGAAGCTGAAAGTCGCTAGTTCGTTCCCTGATGGAGTCGTGAGTGCGCACTGCTAAAGAGTCCCATACTAGTCGGACAGAACAGCTGGATGTCTAGTGCTCCCGTATTTCCAATATTCCTCTAACTGATGTCAGTGTATGATGAAAATCAACTTAAAAAAGCAAAATTGTTATTGTTATTATCAATATTATTATTATTATTAACTGTTTTCTGTTCTACTCTTTCATATATTTCAATAAACGATTTACACTGCACACTCTTCTCTTTTATTTTTTCTTGTATGAAGGTCAAATTATTCTTTTTGGCACAAACGATGGTATTTACTATCTTGATTTAGTAAATTTAGCCGATGGCACATTAGAATTAGTAAGTTTTATTCTTTCTTCGACTGTAATAAATTCGTTTTATTATCCAATTAGTTACTAATTAATCGATTCGACTAGGTATGCATAGATGCACGTGGGCACACACACACACAGAGACAAAAAACAAATAAGGGAACAAACGACAGACATTCGATATATGCAGTAATTACACGGTTAACCTTCGCTAATCAAACTTTCAATACATCGAATAACAATTGTCATTATGATTAGAAACTGTTCATTATATAGTTTACATTTGTATTGTGTATCTCTGTGTGTCCTTAATGTAGCATGTTTGACCATCCTGCGTATCAAAGTATACTAACACAAAAAGCTATTATTATTATTATTATCATTATTATTATTATTATTATTATTGGTGCCTCGATCACCTCCCCTGGCATGGCCTGGTGTGATGCATGATACCCCCAAACCATCTTCTCAACGTATATCCAATCCAATCCACCTACATCTCCACTTTCTTATTCTGCATAGTTGTTCGGGGATAGGGTTTTAGTTTGTTGGTTGGTTGGTTGGTCTGTTGCCAGGACAGAGTTCCTCCTTGCTCATTCTTCCTGGTCTTCTGATCTGATATTCAGTATCGAGTGTAGGAAGCTGTTGGAAATGCTTTTTGTAACACGCCAAGTCTCTCAACCATCATACAGAAGTACTGACTTACCTGACTAAATTAGTGTTGACAATTCGAATCTTGTTCACGCTTTATGTTGAGTGGAGTGCAGTGCAGTGCAGTGCGGTGTGGTGTGGCGTGATGCAGATCTCCACACTGACTTTAGATTAATGAAGGAAGGCCTGTGTTGCTGTCTTTCCGATCCTGTATGCTTTCACATCCTCATTTGTGACTGTGCCACGTGCAGTTGAGACAATGCTGTCTAGTTGGGTAGGTGGTAATTGGAAGAGACAATTTCCTTTAGATTTCTCCCACTGATGTTGATTGGTGTGTTTGTGTTGTTGTTGGTTGTGTATCTTCATCACCTATGCCTTCTCTACGTTCACCTGAAATAAGTCCCTCCTTTGCTGCTTCGCCTCGCCTCGCCTCACCCCACCACACCTCTTGTGCCAACTTGTTAGTTTTCGGCTGTAGATCATCGAGTTTGTGCAATATAAGACATTAGACATAAATCATCATCGTTGGCGAAATCCAAATCTTCTTCTGTGGTTATTTCATTCATCCAGCCAGCGTATGTTCATCTTCTCATAGCTCCTCACAATTTCTTGTATCATCCAGTCGACTTCAGTCCAGTCCAGTCGACCACAATCAGGATGGTGATTGATGATAGTAGGCGGCAACCTTGTCATACTCCTTCCTGTCTTCACTTCACGTAAAAGGCATCACTCAGCTTTGCATTGTCAATCACTCAACATGTAGCATCATATAGGTGTTGAATGAGATTGGTAAGGCTTTATGGGACTGAAACCGTATTGTTGATGGAGATGCTCGCAAATTACTTCTCTGACGATGTTATCGAAGGCCTTTTGAAAATCGTTGAAGTTGAGGTTGATAGTTGACTGCACAGAAAGCTGTAGGTATATGTGAACTAATCACTTGTGAAAATAGACTTCATCGTTTTGAGTGCTGCGTGCGGTGTTAACAATTATCTTGACTACGTTATTGCACTCTTCTAGTCACTCGTCCTCGATTAGTAGTGATGATATTGCGTACTTCGTTTATGATACATTCCCAAAATTAATTCATTTGATAGGCTAGTTCTTTTTCAGGTATCTGAGAAAGAAGGGTTGGCGCATGACCACGAACTCCTTTGGAAATCTGCTTGAGGCTTATTGCATACCACCTTTCATTTAGGTTGTAGTTTTTGGTTCATCTCTTTTAACTCTGACTGTGCACTGAGGTCGCCAGCATCAACAAACCGCGGGTTAGTGGCGAGTACGTTATTTTGGGGGCTAACTTCTACCTCCCTTCTCACTGGGAAAGCAACATCAACGTGACTACCACTGCCTTCGTAGCGTAGGCTATGTTTCGAGGTGTCACTACATGAGTAACATAGAAGTCAGGCGTAGAGCTTAGGCAGGGGAGGTGAGTCAGTTAATACTTTTGTGAATCTTCATCCACTTATATGGCTGGGATAAGTGTTAAGTATGGCTAGCCCCGTCTGCCTCTTAGCACTATGTTAGCTGAACTAGGCCCAGGTTAGAAAAAGGTTCAGTTGGTCAGACTAAAGCATGGCACCAATGCATGATGTCCTTCATCTAAGAGAAAAACTTTACTGTTGTCACACTCCTCAACCAGCAGTACGACTTCACCCTGGGACTACCATCATAACATGGCAATTTTCATTATAATGGTAACTGATTTTTATCTAACCACTCTCCCACATAATTTTCTAGTATGATACGACCTGGAGCATTTCACCAGCCTAACTCATCACATCTTTGTGATATTCAGGCCTGATCACCACCATATCGAGGTGTCAGTTATCAGTCGTTCGTTTTCTATCAGCAATGATGATATTGCTTACTTTGTGTATTTGGCTAACGTTAACTTGCGTTAGCAACTGATGGTGAATACTTGTGTGTTTAACTATTGTATTACGGTTATTATTATGGTATATTGATAAGCGATTAGTATTCCTACAGCTAAGTGATAACTTGGCGTTTCTTTTCCCTTACTTAACCTTGATTTCTGTTGTTAGCGTGTTTATCCGTATTAATTCACGGTGAGAGAACTTTCGTTCCTCTAGAATCAGTCTGAATCAGTCTAAAGTTAATGATGGATAGTGGCTAGCAGTGGAATCCAAGACTCGCATTTCGTCCTATTCGGGACTCGGTAGCTAGATGTATCTGTTTCCCAGTGAGTGATGTTGTCCCACGGGGATTCAAACTCAGGACCGATCGCTTCAAAGGCCAGAGCATTATCCAGTAGACCACCGAGCGAGGATAGCCACTTCTTGTGCAACGGGCATAGTTTTAGTATAATTGTTTTTATATTATGCCGTCGTTGATTGGTCTCTATTGTCATATGAGCTCCTTTGCGGATGCTTCGTTATTACATGTGTTTTAATCCAAGACACGCATTTAGTTCTATTTGAGAGTATCAAACAATAACTGATCACCTCTTGCTGTAGTGTCCTGGTGGATAGTGTTTTGAGTTTGAAGTGATGGGTACTTGGTTCGAGTCTCAATGAGGACAAAATCATTCGCTAAGGTCCAGGCATATCTGGCTGACGAGGCTTAAATAGGGAAGAAACACGCATTCTTGATTCTACTGCTAGTTACCAAGATGAATATAATTTAATACAGTCAGATTAATCAGCTACTTATGATTCATATTTTTAAGAGTAAATATACAAAGATAAATTGCATTATTCCTACGCATAGCTAAAGCACTAGCTGTAAGTGATCAGTATCACCTAAATGTATTGTGAGACCTCCTTCTCTACCTTCACCATAATAGTGTTATTCCTGAGATAAATGGGGATTTTTTTAATTTAGAAGTAGTATTCATCATGGACTGACATCAGTTGGGGAACCATTGTGCATCTAGGAGCACTGAACAGCTGTTTCGTCCTGGTATGCGACTCCTCAGCATTACTGAGTTCGATCCTTAGCCGAGTCGTGGATGCGCACTGCTAAGGAGTCCCATACTAGGACGAAACAGTCATCCAGAGCTCCTAGATGCTCAATGGTTCCCCAACTGATGTCAATCCATGATGAATACTACTTCTAAATGTTATTCTTGTCTAGTCTATTTCATTTCACTTTGATTGTCTTTCATATTGAAGGGAACGAAAAGATAGAGACGAAGGAAGGGATGTTTATTATTAACATGTGGCACAGTAGTCGTTAAATATTGGGTACACCTTACACTAAGATCGTCATTTGTATAATTTACTTCATTTACTCGTCTACTTCTCTTTTGATTTGCTCTAAATACGCTTGCTTTGTCTTTGGCGTTACTCTGTCCAGAATCCTAACCCATTACTGATAATTCTCTATAATTTTACTGCCTTTTCAATATATACTACTTATATCCATTCTTATCAGTAACGCCGCACTAGAATATCACCAATGAACACCTTTCTTTTAAGAAAATCTGATTCATGTTTCACCTCTTGAAATACCAGTTGCTTATTTACCACTACAAACTCTATTATGTGGTATATTGACTGAATAACATTCTAATGTGAATATCTAACCTGGTACAGATTATAAATATAATAATTGTACAGCTTATCAATAAAGTTGTTGAATAAAATTTTTTCTACCAATGAATAATATTGAATGGATTATTATTACTAGACTGTTGATCATAAATTCTAATTGATCATAATATTATAATCCATAAAATTTATCTTTTATGATATACAATGTGTACTGATACATCATACATTTAATATGAACATACCTGGTTAGCTTATGACAATCTATGACATACAAATGTAATGAAGTTTCAACATTTATTTTGATGTGTTTAAGAATACCCTCTATCTACTCAGACATCTGCCCCTTACATAGCTCATTCAATCATTAAGATTTGTTCTAGTGTCTACAAACTTCACCTGCATTCAGTTCATAATTTACTGATCGACTACTGGTACCTTAATGTGGTGGTTAGGTTTCAATTGGCACAAATGCTTGTTCCTTTAGGCTATATCATCTTAGAAATGTCTGTTGTATTGTGGCCCTACGAAAAGCATTTACTGTTACAGTGTGAAATGGCACTCTATGAGTATTTTTCACTGATGGCTCAGTGACCAATGAAATCTCTGCACAAATACAAAACACTCGGCTAGCTTTTGCTAACTCATATCACCTATATCGGTCAAAATATTTTACCGTTGAATAGACCAAAGAGAAAGAAACTACATTTAACTCATATCACCTGTAGCGACGCCATCATATCTGATTATCTATTAAGGATTGTGTGTACTGCACAGCAGTTCGGTCTATTCTACTGTATGGCTGTGAAACAACCGTTGAAGGTGGAGGACATGAGAAGACTTCAAGTGTTTGACCACCGTTGCC